TGTAACATATTTATCGAAATAATAATTGACAATTATATTTACATAGTTTACGGTAACATACCGGCTTTTCTGAATAGTACAATCACAGGATATCTTGGGAATTTATTCAGCATATATAATCAAATCCTGTTGTACTATTTCACTTTTGGCATTTATGAAATTATATATCTACTTCTGAATTTATTATTTTGTTTAGATTGGCGTGGAGAAAATATCCTAAAGTAGCTTTTTTATTCGAAACAATTTATTTTATAACGAATAAACTAAAGGTTAAAAGCAGGAAATTAACAAAATTTCGTGTATTTTTTTTTTTAATAATGGTGAATGCTACATAAAATTCAACGTATAAGATAATGTAATTTCATATACGCCAATTGGTTACTTGCAGCATCCTTAAGCATTAACAACAACAACTTAAATCTATATGTAATATTTCACTGTGTATAAGTGAACAAAGTTAGAATACGGTTTTAAATATTTCATTGCGAAAAAGAATGTCGTACACAAGAAGGGTATGCTTGTATTCATTTTAGGCCTTATATTTTGTATGTAAGAGGTGTCCATTCTCAAAGAATGAAAATTGTATCCTCATAAATTATCTTGTGCATGAAAAATTCGTAGGAATGGTGTATGTTTGATGTGATATGTGTTTTATAAAGTATAACAATAAATATTATCTTCATAACAAAAGTCTTTTATACTTGGAATACATTTTTACACAGAAAAAGAAAATGAAATAAAATTATATATTGCAATGTATAATGGATTATATCTTTTATTCAAAATTTTTGCATTCACCAACCTTTGTACTTAACAATAAATTTTGATGAGATTGCGAATGTGTGAATAAAAAAAAACGCTTGCACTTCATTTAAAAATTGAAATCTGTTTGGGACTACATTAAATTTTCTTATAGTGTTTTTATATGAATATGATTATAAATGAAAAGATGTGTGAATATGCAAAACATACTGAAATAAAAATAGTAAAAATGATTAATAAATTTTATATTTTTGATATAAACATTCTCCAAATGAGCGAAACACATTTATTTCGCAGCCTGAAACTGATCCGATCTTCGAATAAAGAAAAACACGTTACTCATACTTCTACTAATATCTGACTAATGTCAATTGCCAATCTATAATCTATATATGTATACGCCGATAATTGAAGTTTGGTGCGTGCTTGTTTGTACACCAGTCTAGCGGAGGAGTCAACAAGAATAATTCAATTAATCACAGTATGTAATAAAATAATATATTTATTTTTCATGCGCATACAAATTATTGATATCATTTTTATTTCTAACCCTAATTTATAGGGAGACATTTCCACATAAGCGAAGCAAAATAATAAAATCCTGTGTGAAATTAAGTAGCAAATTTATTGTCAATTCCGAGAAAAAATTTATTTCGGTGCTACACTTAATATTGTCATAAACAAAAGAACAATCTAAATACCGAATTATTTCAGTTACGAAGTACAGTATATGTACATACTTTCAAGGTACATATTACTCGTTCAATTGTTTCAAGAAGGGTGTAAGAAATGAGAATACATATCCTCGACCTGATGAGAGTGAGAATTATCAAGTCAATCCATAGAGATCAGACCATAATGTGGAGATTTGAATATTGAAGCCGCAGGTATATTTGCTCAGCCTCAGTAATTGATTAGAATAGATTAGATTTCTTATCTGATCGTCAGGGTACTCGACGTTTATTATTGACGTCAAGTGCAGCACGGCGCGTTATGCTTGTGTACGTATTGTATTATATTATATATCAACCAAATAATTTTCTCGTCTACAGTTCGTTGACGGCAATAAAAGTACGATATCACTGCTGTGAAGCAGTATTTTTACGGCACATTCTTTTGTTTTTTTTATCCGAACCTGAACAAGTTTGAATTTGAAGTTAACAGCGAGCATGAGTAGAGTTTTTACCGATAACAAAGCACGTGGGTTGATATATTAACAATATACATATGTATATTAGTCTGATATCTATGGTAACATTTGATCATATCTTAAATGTCTAACGTTTGGTAATATGATCTTTTTTATTGGTGCAATGATACATGTAGAATTGATAATGGCATAGTAAATATACACACCTAGTCTGATTAAAATTTTTTTAGGAACATTTCATCTTATCTATTTATGTGCTTCATAGGAGTTCTGATTAATTTGCAGTGCCGGAAAACATGGATGGCGTTGATAGAATAGAGGATGCTGCTGATATCAATAATGAAGAGATTGAAAACAATGAGAATGTGATTTTTACCAATGACAGGTATAATATACAGAAATTTATGTTGGATATTTAATTAGCTTTCAGTCACATACTAAGACTGCATGCAATGAGTATTGTAATAATTGAAATTTATATCTTTTCAGATACAATGATAACTGCGAAGGACAGCGTTTTTTGGTTCCTAATCCAAATGCACGTTCGCCTAAAATAGCTGTAGAATACATTAGAAGATCCGATATAAGTCGGTATAATCCAGCTTTGAAAAATCTTATACCCATACGTCATAAAAAATCGTATGTACTTGAATAACTTTCCTTGCAACTAAGCTGCCGCTATACATATTTTTTCTCATGTTTCAGAGACAAAGGAACTATGCCAGCAGACAGTGCTGGATTATTTTCATATATATTTTATACTTGGGTAACACCTTATATATGGAAAGCATATAAAAAGGGTATTAGTATGAATGACGTACCGTGCATTTCTTCTTATGAAACTTGCAAATACAATACACAAAGGTAACTATAGTACATTGATTTAATAGAAGTTACATTTATTCGCTTAATTTGTTTTTATTTTTAACATTTCACCGACTGGAAACCTATTTATCGAATTCTCAACCATTGTGTAATGAAATGATTAAATGATTCTATTGAAAAATTTATTAATCTCCAGATTGGAGGTACTTTGGCAAGAAGAATTAAGCAGACGTGGTCCGGAATTGGCGTCGTTTCAGATGGTCGCTTGGCGATTTGTCCGTACAAGGATATACATAGCTTGGTTCTTACTAACTTGTACAACACTCTGCGGATTTATAAGCCCTGTATGACTTATTTTTTATAATTTTTTGGAACTTTTATAACCAATTATCTTTTAAACTGTTTATTGTTTGAAGTTATTAAATCATTCTTTTCCTTCCAGATGATATTAATGAGGAAATTATTAGAACATATTCAATCTCCAGAAGAAGATGTATGGGAAGGTATAAAGTGGGCATTATTATTAACATGCTGTGACCTTTTGCGAATGATATTTTTCACTTGGACATGGAACACAAACATTAGAACAGGACTGAGGTTGAAATCCGCTTGTACCACTCTTCTGTACAAGAAAATTATAAGACTAAATAGCCTTGGAGATCAAAGTACAGGCAAGGTAATACTCGATCAGTACTTACACGAATTTCGAGGTGCATATTAATTTATTATCGTCACTTTATGGTTTTAGTTAGTAAATTTATTTACTAACGATAGTCAGAGACTATTCGACGTAGTCATTTATGGACCCATGATACTTAACGGTCCGATAATTATTATTTGTGGTGTACTTTACATACTGTGGATGTTTAGTCCATTTGCTCTTCTCGGAACGCTTGTATTTCTTCTATTCTATCCTTTTCAGGTAAGTATTTTGACCTATACAGTAATTTAAAAATCCTTTTTTCAATAGTTTGAAATACATTGGTAAATGCGTGTTGATTTTTACAGTATCTAATATCCCGTGGAGTTTACTACTTTCGTTCAAAGACAGTCGTCATTACAGATACACGAGTGAAACTGATGAATGAAATCCTGGATTGTATCAAATTAATCAAAATGTGTTCATGGGAGAAGTATTTCAGCCGAAAACTTCTTGGTATTGTTTTCAAATTAACATAGTTAACTACTATTCTGGCATTGTATGCATTCTATGCTATAACTAATGTCTTTTAGACATACGAAAAAAAGAAGAGAGCTGGTTGCACAAGACTGTATATCTTCAAAGCTTAGCTATTTCCTTAACACCAGCAGTACCTGTAATTTCGGCGATCATCACGTTTATAGCTCATTTATCAACAGGTCATAATTTAACTGCTGCTCAGGTATGGTCTTCTGAATATCAATGAATTAATAATATTACAACAATAGATTTTTTTGGAGGAATATTAGAATAAGTAATTTTATAATAAACAATTATTGTTTCAATGGCCAACGGAACATACATGAAATATGCTGAAGGATGTATATGAAACAAGTTTTGCATTTAATGGACTATGTATTGCAGGCTTTCCCAGTTATAACATTTTTCGGAAACATGTTGCGACTGGCACTCGTTTCACTTAAGGACTTCACACGATTTTTTTCCGACGCCCGTATTGCCCTTAGAAGATTCAAGGTCTCCCAAACTTTAAGTTTGTAACTTACATAACACTTACACTTGCATTATCGATAATAAGCATCTGGGTGTCTCAGTCAGTTTAACATCAGATTAAAAGCTTCTCGTCTTAGTTGCGTGTGTAATGGGGAAAGTGCTGTACGCCGTACAAATAAGTAAAACATAATTGCTTTTTCTTTTACTCCTCCCTCTGATTACCCGTATATATACAGTAAATTCTCCACAATAGTCCCTCAGCTTCTAAACAAAAATGGACTATTTGGGAAGAGGAGATACGATTATTCAAGTCTCACGGCTCGTTTTTATAGTTGTTGACAATAGGCGACTATAAAAACGAGCCGCGAGGCTCGAATAATCGTATCTTTTCTTCCCAAATTTTTGAAATAAACAACAAGTTTACAAGCTGTGGGAAAATTGGAGAGAATTTACTGTATCATGATATCGAGTTTAGAATGGGTGTTGTATATAGAAAATATTTAGAAATAATTCACTAAAAACGTAACAATTAATACCGTTAATTTAAACTGCGATATGTTACTTTTCCAGGTGTTTCCCTTCATATCATTACTCAATTCTCAAATTCGTTCTTCTTTCATGTTTATACAAGTGGCCTTAGTTAATATNGATACACGAGTGAAACTGATGAATGAAATCCTGGATTGTATCAAATTAATCAAAATGTGTTCATGGGAGAAGTATTTCAGCCGAAAACTTCTTGGTATTGTTTTCAAATTAACATAGTTAACTACTATTCTGGCATTGTATGCATTCTATGCTATAACTAATGTCTTTTAGACATACGAAAAAAAGAAGAGAGCTGGTTGCACAAGACTGTATATCTTCAAAGCTTAGCTATTTCCTTAACACCAGCAGTACCTGTAATTTCGGCGATCATCACGTTTATAGCTCATTTATCAACAGGTCATAATTTAACTGCTGCTCAGGTATGGTCTTCTGAATATCAATGAATTAATAATATTACAACAATAGATTTTTTTGGAGGAATATTAGAATAAGTAATTTTATAATAAACAATTATTGTTTCAATGGCCAACGGAACATACATGAAATATGCTGAAGGATGTATATGAAACAAGTTTTGCATTTAATGGACTATGTATTGCAGGCTTTCCCAGTTATAACATTTTTCGGAAACATGTTGCGACTGGCACTCGTTTCACTTAAGGACTTCACACGATTTTTTTCCGACGCCCGTATTGCCCTTAGAAGATTCAAGGTCTCCCAAACTTTAAGTTTGTAACTTACATAACACTTACACTTGCATTATCGATAATAAGCATCTGGGTGTCTCAGTCAGTTTAACATCAGATTAAAAGCTTCTCGTCTTAGTTGCGTGTGTAATGGGGAAAGTGCTGTACGCCGTACAAATAAGTAAAACATAATTGCTTTTTCTTTTACTCCTCCCTCTGATTACCCGTATATATACAGTAAATTCTCCACAATAGTCCCTCAGCTTCTAAACAAAAATGGACTATTTGGGAAGAGGAGATACGATTATTCAAGTCTCACGGCTCGTTTTTATAGTTGTTGACAATAGGCGACTATAAAAACGAGCCGCGAGGCTCGAATAATCGTATCTTTTCTTCCCAAATTTTTGAAATAAACAACAAGTTTACAAGCTGTGGGAAAATTGGAGAGAATTTACTGTATCATGATATCGAGTTTAGAATGGGTGTTGTATATAGAAAATATTTAGAAATAATTCACTAAAAACGTAACAATTAATACCGTTAATTTAAACTGCGATATGTTACTTTTCCAGGTGTTTCCCTTCATATCATTACTCAATTCTCAAATTCGTTCTTCTTTCATGTTTATACAAGTGGCCTTAGTTAATATTGACGAATCAAAGATAACATTCAACAGACTGCAGGTGGTTATTTTTATCTGTTTAATTGTAACGATAATTATTAACAGTACTAATGTAATCATGAAAATTGCATTAATGTGACTACATTTTTAGTAGTTCTACGATTCTTAGTTTTGCGAATGAGGAGCAATATGCATGTAAAATGGTATTTCAGCAAGTAAAGTACTGGAAACTTGCATGTTATGAACACTTTGTGCTTAAAACAAATCACAATGCAATAATTTGTATATAATATATTTCGTTAAGTACGAAGCAACTTAATTAACGTGACCAATTTAAAGAAGTACAGCTTGAGCGATAAATATTGTAGTCGAGTAAATCTCTAAACCTGTCTTATATTTTTATAAATTTCATATATATATATTATATCATATTTATGTGCACTGCATGAGTCAGGAAGTAAGCATGTTAATCGTGAATGCATTTAGAATCAAAGAACGTGTTGTTACTGACGACATTATTTTCATTAATTATACAAATTTGATATACACTTTTAATGATTAGCAATGTTTGTGCAGAACGTATTGCTTCTAGAAGAAAATACATGCCATGTATCAAAACCGATTGTGAAATCTGAAGCAGTAGTCATTGCTAATGGTACATTTGTTGAAGAAAATGTCACTTTCGACGCTCACAACAAGTGAGTTTTTTTTTAACAAAATATTTACCATTACTTCTTCTAGATTTATTTGAACTAATTTCTAACATTTGATTTTAGGAAAGATCTCTCGAATTCAGAGAAAAATGTTGAAATGGAAAAACTTAATGATTGTTCTCAAAGGACTCATTATGTTGAAGTACTTTCAAATATTAAATTTGGGGCTGCGAAAGATGGATTAGTGGGAATCTGTGGCCACGTAGGAAGTGGAAAGTCTAGTCTACTGCTTGCTGCCTTAGGACAGTTAAAAAAGACTCATGGACACGTTTTCAGAGAAGGTTCATGCGCCTATGTTAGTCAGCAAGCATGGATCGTTAATGCAACGCTTAGGGAAAATATTTTATTTGGTAATCAGTTCGATGCTAGGCGATATTATCATGCGGTTACAGTATGTAACTTGAAAGAAGATATAAACATGTTGCCCGGTGGAGACGATACTGAGATTGGCGAGCGAGGCATAAATCTTTCAGGGGGTCAAAAGCAAAGAGTTGCTTTAGCTAGAGCACTTTATGCCAATCGGTGAGAAATGTGTTTTTTAATATTGATGTAAGTCAGTAATTTATCAACAAATATTTACTTGTTTTCCTATTATCTGTTTAAGAGATATTTATTTTTTGGATGACCCATTGAGCGCGGTAGACGTACACGTGGGATCATACATTTTTAAGAATTTAATACTCGGAGCACTCAAGAACAAATGTGTTCTCTTTGTGACGCACCAAGTTCAGGTAGCACTTGTTAAGTCTTTAACGGATACTCAGCTCGCCCCTGAGGTTTCTGTACTATGAATTAGTCGGCATAATCTTGCATCAATTCTAGTTTTTGAAACACTGTGACCAAATCTATTTATTGAGTAATGGTAAGATCGTAGAACAAGGTTCTCACGATGAATTGATACAATTGAATAAGGAATATACTGCCATGGTAAACAGCACACTATTAAAGACTGAAGATAATACAAGCGAGTAAGCCATCACTTAATCGTTGCTCCAATATCGTTTAAAAATCATATTATATATATAATTTGATTTAATTTTGTAGACAATCCAATACAGGGGCTCAATTTGGAAACAAAAACTCTGAGAACGATTTAAAGACAAGAACTATTGGAAGTAGCTCGGTAAACAACCATGCATATGATGAAACATCAAGTAGAATGCATGGAGGAGGTATATATAATCTGATCGTAAATTGAATCCAAATTGTTAAACATTAAATTTGTATTCAATTTAGGAGCAACACTTGTCACGGCAGAAAAAGTAGAAACTGGTACAGTGAAATCACACACGTATCACATGTACATCAAATCTGCAGGTGGTTACTTAGTGGCTGTTTTAGTTTTTTGTACACTTTTTCTGAACGTAGGAAGCTCAGCATTTAGTTCTTGGTGGTTAGCTACATGGATTAAAGCTGGCGGTGGAGTAAATATTTTTTGTATATTTTTGTAAACTGATATTCAGATTATAAAAAAAAACGGTAAATCTTATTTTAATAGCTATCTTATAATCATTCCGTTTTCATCTAGAATATCACTGATCTTGAAACTAACGAAACGATAGTGTCAGAAAATTTACGTGATAATCCCGACTACATGTATTACCAAAATATTTATGGTGCTTGTATTGGAGCAATTTTGATTACAAGTCTGATACGTGGTTTAATGATCACTTACACTACAATTAATGCTTCAACGACGCTTCACAATAAAGTGTTCAAAAAGATGATCGAATCCACATTAACATTTTTTGAAATTACACCTGTTGGCAGAATACAAAATATTTTTAGTCGCGATATCGACGAAGGCAAGAGAGTATAATAATTATTTCCAATAAAACATTACAGTTAAAAATTACTTTATGTTTTAATTTGTTAATTTTTATTCATTTTAGTTGACAATTACATACCGATCAACGTAGAAAATATGGTGCAGAATTTCTTTACATGCAGTTTCCCAATCATTTTTATATGTTCAATAATACCCTGGTTTTCCTTGCCATTAATCATTCTCGGTGCCATGTTTTTTTGCATCAGCAGAATTTTCAGGTAAAACTAACAAATGTTTAAGTAATACAGAAGAATATTTTTACTATTTGCATACAGAAAAAGTTGATCATGTTTAGAGTTGCGATGAGGGATTTCAAGCGAATGGAGAGCACTTCAAGATCGCCCGTTTTGAGTTTCGTTACAACCACGTTGCATGGTTTGAATACCATTCATGCATTCGAGAAAGAAAAAGCATTTAAGAACAAGTATGTTAGTTCACATTATTTCTTGAGCAAAAATTGACGGTACTATAGATTATTATAACATTTTTTAGATTCGAGGAATTATTTGATTCAAGCAACTTATGTCTTTATCTATGCCAGTCAATTATGAGATGGTCGGCGGCAAGACTTGATAGTTTGGCAATTGCTTCATCCTCCATAACTGCATTTTTGGTGATAATGTTCAGAAATCAGATATCACCGGCTTTCGCAGGCTTGGTGATGGCGTATTCCACTCAAATGACGGGTGTTTTTCAATATACCGTACGTTTGATGGCAGAAACAGAGACACGCTTCATAAGTGTTGAAAGGATAAGCTACTATTTAAGAGTCAGTAAACAATTTTACTAGTGATCAAAATACAGATCATTATTATTAAAAATATATATATATATTGATACGTAATATAGACATTGCAAAAAGAAGGCATATGCAACAAGTCACCTGAAAATCCTCCCAACGAGTGGCCAACTCATGGTAAACTGGAATTCCATAAAGTTCAGTTGAGTTATAGGAAAGACCTAGCGCCGATATTAAATAATATTTCATTTGCCATTAATGCTGGAGAACATATAGGTAAGAGTATCCCACAAATAACTTGTTATTTGATATTAATTCTTGTGATACAATAAATTTCAGGTATTGTTGGACGAACGGGTGCAGGAAAAAGTTCTCTTATCGTTGCTTTGTTTCGGCTAGTCGAGATTTCTTCTGGAAAGATTAGAATCGACGGTGTGGATGTAGCAAAAATAAATCTCGACATACTTAGGAATAAATTATCTATAATTCCTCAAGATCCTGTTTTATTCAGCGGTACCGTAAGGTAACTGTAACCGAGAATTTAGCAAAAAGACACGTTCGAAGGTAATTTAACAAATTATTAATGGGTATCACAGGTCGAATTTGGATCCATCCAAAGAATGCAATGATTCGGATATTTGGAATGCTTTGGAAAAAACTAAGATGAAAGAGAAAGTGAAATGCATGCCAGGACTGTTAGATGCGTTCATTGAAGTCGGGGGAAACAATTTGAGCGTTGGAGAAAGACAATTACTTTGCTTGGCCAGAGCACTTCTACGTAATTCGAAAGTATAGTATTATTTTTATAATTAGATATTGTCATCATCGGTACATTATGGCTGACAATTTTTATTGTTATATTCATATAATATTCGCAGTTTCATTAGTCTCTATGAATTCTAGGTAATTATTTTAGACGAAGCAACAGCTGCTGTCGATCCTGAGACTGAAGAAGCTGTTCAAAATACGATACAAAATGAGTTTTCGCACTGTACTGTGCTAACAATAGCTCATCGTTTAAAGACGGTGATCTCGTGTGATCGCATTATAGTTATGAAAAATGGACAAATACTCGAATTCGATAAACCATCCATACTCTTATCTAATCCAGACTCCGAATTCTCAAAAATGTTGGCGTCAGCAGATGAAGCCATAAAAGAATGTTGAATCAATTTAATATTCACCATAGTATTATAATGAATAAGTTTTGACCACAGCGTAACAAGTGTTTTTTTATAATACATTGGTCTTGAAAGAGGATTGAGAGATACAGACAAATAATTCCTTTTATTTTCTAATGCTACAACAAGAATATATATATTTTTTATATATTATATCTACATTATATTTTATTATAGATGTACTGTATAAAATTCTTCCCAAATAAAAATAGTGATTTATATATCTATTACTGAATACAGCAAATTGTTATTTAATACGAATAAAATATATGTTATTGTAAGTACTTTTGGCGTTAATGAAAAAAGAAGATTATTGAATAGAATGATATAGAATGGACAATTTTGTGAATCCGGAGATACGTCGAATGACGCCCGTACATTCAAGATTTGAAATATTGATTTATTCACAGCAGCAGGCTCTGACTGCTCATGCTCGTGGAGCTCTCACTATCGCTGGAAAGCTCGCGGAATTTTACCAAGAAATGTTCACCGCCATGCCACCAGCTTGTTGTTACTGCTAAGATGTTTATTACACGTTAAGCTCTCTCGTTGCTTTATACTGAAATGTAGTCTATATGAATTGCCGTAAAGGCAATACTTGTCGTCGTCCAAACTGTTAAAAAAAGGTGGGTCAATGCCGTCAATTAAATCACTTTAACCATCATGATGTTAGAAAAGTTCTGACCTAAGGGTTACAAAAGTTTTAACTCTATATACATTTTAAAAACTTGCACAATTAAAAGATGCATGTTCTTCAGCATTTTAGTTTGTGCATAAAAATTCTTTTCATACATTATTATTTCATATAGTAATCATCTCGATGATGACACAGAAGGACTTGCTATGATTGAAAATATTTGTCAACAAGATACCTGCAAATAATAGTAATACTGACTTAATTCATATAAGTTATCTCGAATACCATAGTTTCCTTTTTTTCTTTTCTTTTAGATATAAAGCATTAAAATATATGTACATATGTATATATCTACGAATATTTTGATTTTAGGCCTCACCATTGCAAACATAATACCTATTATGATGCTGGGGCGCAAGCAGAGCCTCAAGGGGGAACCCGTCTTGGCCGATTACGGGCCAGAGGAGTCCCTCAATGAGAGCACTGACATTGAGTGGGTGAATAAGGTAATAGCTGCAAGAACGGAATGTAATTATCAAGTTTATCTAATGTTTATTAGATACGATAATATTTATTTATTTGTTTCAGCTGTGGGTTAGAAGATTGATGAGGTTTTGCGCCCTGGTATCATTAATTTCGGTTTGCTTGAATACTCCAAAGACTTTTGAAAACATTCCGCCCCTTCAATATGTTACCTTCGTTTCTGACTTAGTCGTTACGTTTTTATTTACCGCAGAAATGATTGCAAAGATGCACATTAGAGGTATACTGAAGGTAACTGAACGTCATGGCTCGTATGGATCATGTTTACAAGCTCGGCGTTAAATATTGAATATTTTATTGCAGAAGGACAAATCTTACTTGAAAGACCATTGGTGCCAATTTGATGGGAGTATGGTTGTCTTCCTCTGGTTGTCCGTAATTTTACAGATGTTCGAAATGTTAGGATTCGTTTTGAAATTTAGCTATTTTTCAATATTACGGGCACCAAGACCTTTAATTATGATACGCTTCCTGAGAGTCTTCCTTAAGTTCTCCATGCCGAAAGCTAGAATTAATCAGATATTCAAGTAAGGGACTTGTTCATTATTTTAAACGTCAGTGAGTATATGTCGTATGTACTTACATTGTTCATTTATATTTTTCAGACGTTCAAGCCAACAAATATACAATGTAACACTTTTCTTCTTGTTCTTCATGTCCCTATACGGCCTGCTGGGTGTTCAGTTTTTTGGAGAATTGAAAAACCACTGCGTTCTCAACACAACCCATCCAAAGCACATAACTATAAATAGTCTAGCCATTCCAGATACATTCTGCTCGACTGATCCTGAATCAGGATATCAATGTCCAGAAGGAATGACCTGTATGAAACTCGGATTGTCGAAGTATATCATGGGTTTCAACGGGTTTGATGAATTTGGTAATGATGTACATCAAGCGTTAAAATATTTAGTTGTATCATCGACAATCGACAGCTATAGAAATCTTTTGTTCTTTACAGCTACAAGTATTTTTACTGTCTATCAAGCTGCATCGCAAGAGGGTTGGGTTTTCATTATGTATCGTGCTATAGACAGTCTCCCAGCCTGGCGTGCAGTCCTTTACTTCAGTACAATGATATTTTTCTTAGCGTGGCTTGTGAAGAACGTTTTCATTGCCGTTATCACAGAGACTTTTAATGAGATACGAGTACAGTTTCAGCAAATGTGGGGTGTCAGAGGACATATCAGCAATAGTACCGCTTCACAAGTTAGTAGACGGACAACTTGTTTTTACAAGTACATAATCCAAAGTATGAATGTATATATAATGTTGCAGATATTAACCGGTGACGATAATGGCTGGAGTTTGGTAACTTTAGACGAAAACAAACACGGTGGTCTAGCATCTCCTGTATGTCACGCCATCCTCAGATCTCCTCACTTCCGAATGGTGGTAATGTGCGCAATATTGGCGAACGCCATTACCACTGCGACAATGAGTTTCAAGCATGATGAGAAACCAAGATACACTTACTACAACAATTATTATTACGCCGAGATTGCTTTTACGATATTTTTGGACCTCGAAACGGTGTTTAAAATATGGTGCCTCGGATTCCGCAGTTATTACAAGCATTCGATACACAAATTCGAGCTGCTGCTGACAATTGGTACAACCATACACATCATTCCGTTCTTCTATCTTTCTGGATTCACATATTTTCAGGTTTCTACTTTAATTTTCATTCGATTTCATTCTAAAACAGAAAATAAGAAATTAAAGTACATATCAGTAAATTAATGGAAAGTTCTTTCAAAACTAGGTTTTGAGAGTAGTCAGGCTAATCAAAGCGTCTCCAATGTTGGAGGACTTTGTGTACAAAATATTCGGGCCTGGGAAGAAGCTTGGTAGCCTCATTATTTTCACCATGTGCCTGTTGGTTATATCGTCCAGCATCTCTATGCAATTGTTCTGTTTTCTCTGTGACTTCACGAAATTCGAAACCTTTCCCGAGGTAATGTACATTAAATCATGCATTGTTCTTATGAAAATAATGAAGTAATTCTCTTGCAGGCATTTATGTCTATGTTCCAAATTCTCACGCAAGAAGCTTGGGTCGAAGTTATGGACGAAACAATGCTACGAACACATGAAACGATGGCACCCTTTGTAGCTGTTTACTTCATTTTATACCATCTTTTTGTCACACTGGTAAAAATTACTCTTATAATCATTTGATCACATGATAGTCATGCACTGACCTCTTATCTACTTTTCAAGATTGTGTTGAGTCTGTTCGTCGCAGTTATATTGGATAATCTCGAATTGGACGAGGACATTAAGAAACTAAAGCAACTGAAATTTCGCGAGCAAAGCGCAGAGATAAAAGAAACTTTACCATTTAGGTTGAGAATTTTTGAAAAATTTCCGGACAGTCCTCAAATGACATGCTTGCATAAAGTACCATCGGATTTCAATCTTCCAAAGGTCAGAGTTATAATTTCTGAATTTAAATTTTTTATTGTGAAACAAATAACTAAATATCATATTCTTCTAAACCAGGTGCGTGAAAGTTTCATGCGACAGTTTGTTTTCGAAATGGAAAACGAAGAGAACGAAGGCGTGAAAAAAGTAAACGAAACATTTGATTCGAAAATGATATACAGAAAACAACGTCCAGTCAAGATTTTAAACAATCCACCGAAAGTCCGGAACGTCGTTACTAGCCTTAAAAAAGCAGCTGTTACTTACATTATAAAGTATATATATAAGCCTCAATAATTGTAATACATTAATTCTTACCTTTTAATACTTATTAATCCTTACTTTTTTTCACAGTGATTCGAACAATCAAAGGCTTCTGTTAGGCGATTCTGCCATGATACCGGTACCAGGAAAAAGTCTGTTGAAGCCTCAAGGTACTGTTAACAGTGCCAAGCAACTACGCATTGATCAGAAAAAGTAAGTTAGAGAAAATTGCGTAATTAGTGAATTTAGATTTCTAGATCCAAGTAGCCTACCTTTTAAGTAATCGGTAATAGTTAATATATTAACATTTCTTTGTATTTGATAACAGGTCGATCAGGAGAAGTGTTCGTAGCGGTTCCATCAAGCTAAAGCAAACGTACGAGCACCTAATGGAGAACGGTGACATTGGAGGTATAAACAGAGTGAGTTCTTCTCGCAGTAGACCGCATGATTTGGACATTAAATTACTGCAAGCTAAGCGGCAGCAGGCCGAGATGCGCAGGTAAAGCAACATATTATTGCACCGTCTATTAGCGATAAACCACTTCTACCACGTCTTTGTGACTTAACGTTCATCACGCTGCACCTAATGTAGAAATCAACGCGAGGAGGATTTGCGCGAGAATCATCCGTTTTTCGACACGCCGTTATTCGTGGTGCCGCGCGAGAGCAAATTTCGGAAAATTTGTCAGTCGCTCGTCTACGCGAGATACGATACGAATGCGAAAGACCCGTTGACCGGCAAAGAGAGGAAAGTTCAGTACAAGAGCCTGCAGTAAGTGCTTTTGTTTTAACTCTGTGGCTGCTTCTTTTTGACACGACCGTAGAGCACTGCTTGAACATCCAAAGTCAGACATGAATTAACAATGGCGAATTTAATCACACGCTTTTTAGCAACTTCCTTGGCTTGGTCACGTACTTAGATTGGGTGATGATCTTTGCCACGACCATGTCTTGCATCTCCATGATGTTCGAAACACCACGTTACCGCGTTATGGAGGTACCCGTGCTGCAAATCGCCGAGTACGGTTTCGTTATCTTCATGAGCATCGAATTGGCGCTCAAGATCTTAGCGGATGGATTATTTTTTACGCCTAAGGCCTACATCAAAGACGTTGCCTCTGTTTTGGACGTTTTTATTTACGTCGTACGTTTGCATCCAATGTCATTGATACTCTCTGATCTTTTCGTTTTCTTTCTGATTCGTTACGCTGCTAATTTGACGATCATCCAGGTCAGTCTCGTATTCCTTTGCTGGATGCCGAAAAGCGTGCCGCCCAACTCCAGCGCTCAACTCTTAATGATCTTACGTTGCGTCAGGCCGCTGAGAATATTCACGCTTGTGCCGCACATGAGGAAGGTTGTGTACGAATTGTGTAGAGGATTCAAAGAGATCTTATTGGTAAATAATCTCGGCATAAAGTCCATTCAAGTTGATCCAAGGGTATCCATCGAGGAATTCGTAACAATGTTGCAAAGACATTCGAAATTTGTCTGTCTAACGCTTTAAGCGTTAGTCGACACCTGTTAACAGATAATAAATTCATTGGTAATCGCTCGAAAGAAGTTATAAAAGTTTGCAACAGTTATCGAATAATTTGTTAAACGATCATCAAATTATTTAGCTTCAATTTTTGAATAAAATATTAAAGTTGAATGTGAGCTGCTTGGATTACGAATCCTTCAATTGATCTTGATGGGTACTGTATGCGAGAAGTTCAGACAAAAAATGAATAAGAAGCTTTTTAGGTGTCTACTCTGTTGATCCTCTTGATGTTCATATTTGCGAGTTACGGTGTACAGCTTTATGGTGGTAGATTAGCTCGTTGTAACGATCCAACTATTCTAAAACGGGAAGATTGTGTCGGTGTGTTCATGCGAAGGGTGTTCGTGACGAAAATGAAATTACGACCGGGCCAAAACGAGAGCTATCCATCTATACTAGTGCCACGCGTTTGGTAGGCATTGCAGTATGAAATCGTCGTCCGAAGATCGAAGAATACTTTTAAACGGACAGTTGTGAAATATTTTAGGGCGAATCCTAGGCGATTTAATTTCGACCATATCGGTGATGCATTGATGGCGCTTTTCGAGGTGCTCTCATTTAAAGGATGGCTCGACGTTAGAGATGTTCTGATCAAGGCTCTCGGTCCCGTAAGTTTACTCTCACCGCGGAGTCACAAATGACTTCGTAAGGCGACATATAACCATGGCGATGATGCTGTACAATAATTTTTTAGGTCCACGCCATTTATATCCACATCTATATCTTTCTGGGGTGTATGATCGGTTTGACTTTGTTCGTTGGTGTTGTAATCGCCAATTATTCTGAAAACAAAGGGACCGCGTTACTCACTGTCGATCAAAGACGATGGTAAAAAGCTTCATTAATCAATTAAATCGGTGTCTTATTAAGAATCTGATGGTACGCTGTTGTGTGACTAGGTGCGATTTAAAAAAACGACTGAAGATCGCTCAGCCATTGCACTTACCACCTAGACCAGATGGGAAGATATTCAGAGCGTTTATCTATGACATCACTCAGAACATCTATTTCAAAAGATTCATTGCGGTCATGGTACTCATAAACAGTGCTCTTCTGTGCGTTTCTGTGAGTTGGATAATTTTCATTTATTCTATTCTCATCTCCTCCTCCTACTCCTCCTCCTCCTCCTCCTCCCCTCCCACAACCATTACAAGTAGCAACAACACACAACACACCATTCACAAATACTAAACAGATACCTTGATACAATAGTAATCTTCAGATAGAGGAGGCACTCAACTCAATTCACGAAAGACTGTTACCTTGAATCATTTGTTCCTTGCCGGCTACCATTAGACCGTGGTAAAAGTAAACCAACACGTGTCTTTTTGCCATAACGACATACCAATTTTTTTCTCTTTCATTTCGTACACTGAAGTGGAGAATCGAGGAAAAACACACGGAAGCACTCGCTACGGTCTCCACGATTCTGACACTGATCTTCCTCGTGGAAGTGATCATGAAAAATATTGCTTTTACACCACGTGGCTATTGGCAGTCCAGAAGAAACAGATATGATTTGCTCGTGACAGTCGTGGGTGTTATTTGGATCGTCATTCATTGCACAATGAAGGTACGTTGCTCTCCGGTACATCAATTAAGAAAAAAAAACAATATAAAAAATCAGCGTTTCCGTTTCGGTGTTTACTTAATTATAATTATATTATGAAACTGATCGACTGTAAATGACAGGAGTGATTTCTTGCAGAACGATCTGTCGTATGTAATCGGCTTTATGGTCGTCATCCTTAGGTTTTTCACCATCACCGGCAAACACACCACTCTCAAAATGTTGATGTTAACGGTCGGAGTGTCCGTTTGTAAAAGTTTCTTCATTATATTCGGCATGTTTCTTCTTGTTTTCTTTTACGCCTTAGCGGGCACTATCATCTTTGGAACTGTGAAATATGGGGAAGGTATAGGAAGGTAATGTGTTTACGTATCCATAGAGAAAAGGGATATTACGATTAACAAGGGAAGGACACGAAAATGGGAATTGTGCTACGATGGGAATTGGTCACACGCCCTCTTCGAAAATTTGCGGCGATATCTCGAATCACGCGTAACTTAATTTCGGCTGTTCGAACTCCTGTGTCCTTTCCTTGTGCATAATAGAATGGCGCAGATATTTTTCATACGATGTGACTCTAAGCAAGATGATTTACCATTTAGACGTGCCAATTTTGAGTCGCCTGTGACTGGTGTTGCTATGCTCTTTCGAATTGTCACAGGAGAAGATTGGAATAAAATAATGCACGATTGCATGATACAACCGCCGTATTGCACACCAGCTGCTAATTATTGGGAGACCGATTGCGGCAATTTCCATGCTTCCTTAATTTATTTTTGTACTTTCTACGTAATTATTACTTACATTGTCTTGAATCTCCTGGTAGGTAAGTACCGACTAATCTATCGGGCAGCAATGCCGTAGGTTCCTTGCAGGCTTGACTTCATGAAATGCGAACTAATTTTTGCGTAACAGCTATTATCATGGAGAACTTCTCTCTATTTTACTCGAACGAGGAGGACGCCTTACTTTCATACGCCGACATTAGGAATTTCCAAAACACCTGGAACGTGGTTGATAATCATCAGAAGGGTGTCATTCCGGTGAAACGGGTACGTCTGAAAATATTGTTAATTTCGTAGCCTGTTATAAATTAGATTAGAAGTAATGATGTATTAGTGTGTTTCAGGTGAAGTTCATTTTGCGGTTGTTAAAAGGCAGACTTGAGACCGATCCGCAAAAGGATCGGTTGCTGTTCAAGCATATGTGTTATGAATTAGAGAAACTGAACAACGGCGAGGACGTTACTTTCCACGATGTCATTAAGTCAGTAATTAATTACCTGTACTTCATTGTCTGGAACATTGTCTTCTATTCGTATAATACTTTTTGCAGTATGTTATCATACCGGTCGGTCGACATTCGAAAAGCTCTTCAACTGGAAGAATTGTTGGCGAGAGAGGAGTTTGAGTACATCATCGAAGAAGAAGTGGCTAAACAAACAATTAGGAATTGGCTGGAGGGTTGCTTAAAGAAGATCAGAGCCAGCGGAGTGAGTTTCTGTCAGATCCAACAGCTAGAAACAAATTTACATGATTTTTTTATGAACCTTATGAATTGTAAGTTGCAGAAACAACAAAATGATCTTGTAGGTAGTCTTCGTGCTGATCAGCCTATACCGCAACAAGAACACACCGAGGAAAAAGGGAAAGAGGCAGACAAAGAAGAGGAAACGGAAACAAAGGTAAAAATGTAAATTTACCATTACCATTTCTTCGCAACTTCGACAATATATATTTTTGAATAGGATGCAGATGGATCCAAGCACAGAGCAAAAAAGCCTGTAGTTCTTCCAAGATCAGATAGCATAGGCAGCGGATCAAGAAAAAAGTATTTAACTCCGACGTCATCAGATTCGGCTTCAATCAGATCTGAAAAAGATAAAAATGCACCGCCTAAGAAAAGGAACAATAGGCCACCACGTAAGCTATTTTTGTAGATGATTAATTAAGTACCTTGTTCGGTGTTTTCCTTTAACCCATGTTTCCTTTAAGCCATGGCAAAAAATAATCTGCCCCATCTCACAGAGAGCACAGAACAGACCAGACAGCAACGAGAGGTCATGAATGCAAAGGCAACTGCACCAAAACCTTCCAGTGTTATGCTAGAGGTTCGCGAATGGTGGAAGGAGCAACTTGCGCATAGCAGTGAGTCCAGCGAAGACGAAGTTTAATTTCTCATAAGAGTATAATGCGTATAAAAATGAAGCACATGTTTGAACAATTGAAAGGAAAATCTGATTCGATATTTCAAGAGGTGTAAAACGTAAATTCCATTCCAATGCATCTTTGCATGTGCTTCTGTTTTATTTGCATACGCCTAATTCTTTCTGGCGGATATAGTTACACCAATTTCAAGGGAAGAAAGGGTTTTAAACAAACACCTTCGGTTCCAATGCAGAAAACAAAAATGATTCCTGAAAAGCTATGAAAAATGACAAAAGATGACTATTTTTTTGAGTGTATAATTTTCTAGTAATGTCGCACAACAATCCTATCAGAAGCTTTCTATGTTAAAACATACGAAGCAACATCATGTAATGCTTAATTTTCTACTATTATTTTCACATATAAAGAGTAGAAATAATTTTGTGAACGCACGGGAAATCACATTACATAACTTTTGTGTTCAGACTTTTCTTTTCCAGCACCTAAGATCACTATTCTTCCGAACAGCTATCAGATAAGTTCTTTTACCTCGTGTGTCAACAGTCTACTCAGCAAATACTCAGGTTCCAAGTAGAATAATGTTTTGTAGATCGTGCAACGCATTTTTGCACATACTGAGAATAATTTGTTAATTCCGTTACACATATATTTTTTGTGCCAGTTATCGATGTTGAAATACGGAATTTGTATAGAATAGTAGAATTTAGATACATGGTAGGTTTTGTACGATAAAAAAAGAAGAGTATTGAACCAGGAAGTGCTAATTAAAATAAATCAAATTGATGTTGTCAAGGACAACTGCGAGTACAAGGAACATGAATGATGATTTCTTTTCTATTGGAAACAATTCAGTTGTTGAAAGTTTTATCTATTAGGTTGAGCCATAAATAACTTCTCCTTCGCATCTACCTTTATGTAAAATACTCAACATTGATCTATTATAAAGATTCTGTTACTGTCCATTATAATGATTATTATGGAACTTAACAATGATACGTTACTTAATGAACCTTTATCAAGTGTTAATTGTACGTTATTCATGACTCAATCAAATACATAATAACGAACGAAAACTAATGTAATGT